GAAATATAAACATTTATTAATTTTCTAATCATGCAGTGTAATGGAACGAAAATATAAATAAAAAATTAGAAATCAAAATTATTTATATTAGGTGCTTCATATTTCTATTTAAAAATTATATTTACTTTTACTGGCATTTACTTTAAAAAATAAATGAAATATTTCTTCGCAAAAAACTACATGTAAGAGAATTAGCATAAACAAAATACAAAATCGTTAACTTTTTTTTAAAATTGGCACCTGTAAAATTTTCATTTTAATTTTCACCCCATAGTTTGAGTTCGATAACCATTTATTTAACCACATTACTTAAATATAATTATTAAGTTCCAACTAATTCATAGGTATTATTAAAACATCTAAAATACAAATATGTATTTTTAAAATTAATTGTAAGTTCATCTCATCTCTCTTAAAAATTGCTACTTCCCAAAATTTCCCATTAAAAAATAGACCATATACCATATAAAATTAAATAATTGAAAGATCGGACTACGGAAAACCACACAAATTATCGAAAAAATTTTGACCACCTGCACATGCACACAATCGTCAATAAATAAAATTAAAAAATAACTACTATTTTAGTATTTTAACTATTTTAATAAACGCAAAAATAGCACAGTATTTATACGGCGAAGTTATAAAAATTTGGAAGAACCAATAATGCACTGACGCATACAAAAATCAAACGAATACTAAATTTCATTTATCAAAAGCATTCGATAGTCGTGGCTCAACGATAACCATTTAGTCGCACGGCGAGGTTGTCACATATGCTTTAGTTTACAGATGAATGAATGATTTTATTCGAATAAAACCATTCGATAGTTGAAATCATTCATTCATTAACCATTCGATAGTCTAATTCATTCGATAGTTCCCATCGCTATTTAGTACCTTGTAGTACGTGTCGCACGTGTGCGGTAAAGCTTTGTTGCCGCTATCTCCCCGGCTGTATTAACGCATTTTCTTAGCTTGTAGTCCTTAAGTGTTTATTTGATTGACTTTTTCTGTTCAAAAACTATAAAATATGGTTCGCCAGTGCCAAATTTGCAAGAAATTTGACTTAAATAATCCATTTAAGTCTTGAAACGACTTTTGACCGGTAGGCAACTCTCAATTTACCCATTGGGAGTCAGTGGCGTTGTTGTAGAAAGGCGCTTATTTAGATAATATTTTAGTAAAATGTAAAATCTGAATTTTTTCTCTTATATTACATTATTTACTTACTTACATTGTAACAAAATCATAATTATAACCCTGTTAATAATTAATAATGTTTTTATTAAAAATATATTCCGGTTTATTCTAAAATTATCTTCAGAATCTAAAATAACATACAAGAATTTTAATATGATATTACATTATGAGACAATATTTTTTAATATACCGGGTCGTCTCAAAAGTGGTTCACCGCTATAACTTTTTTATTTTTTCAGATAAAAAAACAGATTTGTATGTTAGTAGGTATATGACATAAATTAGGATTTATTGACGTATTCAATTGTTTTTGGTCTCTTTCTGTTTCACCGAAATGATTACATCTTTTGATTTTTAAAGGCACCCTCGGTATATTTCTACTTTATTCGATAGAAAATGATAATAGAATTCTGAATAGAATGACATATCATATGTCAACTTTTGACATTGTCGCTTAAAAACAAATCGTATTATAAATTTCAATCCAGGGTGCCATGGTGTTGTTAAAAACACTAAGTTTTAATCAAGGAGCCTTGGAAAAATAGTTTTGATCGTCTAATGGGTTTCGTGTCTTGTCTAGGCCGATTAAAAGATGTACAAATCATATTTTTAATCATACATATGTCAATTTTTTCAAATGGAACAAGGGTGACTCGTTAGCATATTTGGAAAAAGCATTTTTTTATGAATATATTGATACCACACACTTGGTATTTCGAGTCAAATTGTCGTTATGAACCACGTGTTACAATTACAATTAAACCATATGCGAAAGTGTCAAAAGTTGACATATGATATGTCATTCTATTCAGAGTGTCATTTTCTATCAAATAAAGTAGAAATATACCGAGGGTGCCGTTTAAAAATTAAAAGTTATAGTCATTTCCGGTGAAACAGGAAGTGACCAAAAACAATTGAATGCGTCAATCAATCCTAATTTATTTCATATACTAACATACTAAATCTTGTTTTTTTTATTTGAAAATATAAAAAAATTATGGGGATGAGCCACTTTTGAGACGCACCCGGTATAATAAAGACAGTACCGAGTTATAAATGTAGTTTTTATTTTATCCACTTCCTATCACCTTCCTTGCTTTAATGGAACAGATTTATGTTTTCTCTAATTTACATAATAAGACATCACTTAACCAGAAAAAAAATTACAACAATCATATTTTTTTTCTCTCCCTGTTGCCGATTCTATTATATCTGTGGAATAGATCCTGTTTTGATTAATATTAGGGGTTGTAAATGTTTGACTAAAATTAATAATTTATTATTAATTTCAAAAATTACCTAATTTCGATGATAAAATTTCTTCTATAACGTGTATTTTATTATTTTTATCCTTTTTGGACTCTAAATTGTTTTTTCTAAACTTTTATTTAAAAAATCTTAATAAAATATAAAAAAGTTTAAATACGATATATTTTTAATTTAATTATAGCTTCATTAAAATAAAAAAATTACCCGGCTATGATACGGAGAGTTCAGGTGTACTTGAGAAACGAAAGACAGTGTTGTGTTTCTCGGCAGAGTCGTCAGGGAACGACCGTTACGACAGACACAACCTATCTATCGCTCGTGTCGCACTCGTTATAACCTAAAACAATAACACAACAATAACAAGACAGTGTCTGACCGCATGTTCCAGCTATTTATGAATGAGATGCTCAGTCTATATTTTATTTTAAGTCTATGGTATAGACCGATGCAGTCACGTTCGCCGTAGCGCTTTCCCCACTCCGTTGTCCGTTGTCTCGCCGCGCCGCCTGTATCGATGGTTGACGAAATAACATGTTTTCCATCCATACTAGTTGTCTGTGCTAGTCGTTTTTTGGAATTGCTTCGAGCAGCATAGAATTTCGTGGCGGTGCAGAGCGCCGACTTCGTTTTTCGTTTCACGAGCGGCCGATCTCTACGTGTCGTTATTTTATATCTGTTATTTTTTAGAAGTAGTAACGGTTGCGTTATGTTATTTATAAATAATTGTTATAAAATAACAGATAGTTAAATAACAACCCATCACTATTATCGAGGCATATAATCTCACAGTAATTTAATAGATTACTCGTCATATATCAGTTCGTAGGAAATTAGGGAAAAAAAGATATTTATGGTATAAAAACATTAATTTATTTAACAAAATTTAATTAAAGATGTGACAAAATAGTTACTTTTCTATTGGTTCTATCGGACTTTGTTTGACTATATAAATCTTTATTTGTAAACTTTAATGCATAAAATATTTTCAATCCAATAAATAATTTAATGATGTAAATAAGAGGAAATTTCTCACATGGGTGGTCAAATTCTATACTTTTCATTATATCAAACAGCCTCTGAATGTTTTCTTCAGTGCAAACTCATCAAAATTTAATATAAATAATTTTTCCAGCCTGTAAATAAAATGAACAAATTTTTCCACTTTCATGATCAAAGGCTTTTAAATGGGTAAATAATTTCGAGTTATCCAGAGATTCGGATTCTTTTGCAAATTTTAGACAAATATCACATTGATATATTTGAAGACTTTTTTTAATGATGTAGTCAAACATAGGCATTTTGAGTTGAAAACATTTCTCAGAGGCTGTTTGATATAATGAAAACTATAAAATTTGACCACCCATGTGAGAAATTTCCTCTTATTTACATCATTAGTTTGAAAATATTTGATGTATTAAAGTTTACAAATAAAGATTTATATAGTCGAAAAAAGTCCGATAGAACCAATAGAAAGGTAACTATTTTGTCACATTTTTAATTAAATTTTGTTAAATAAATTAATTTTTTATACTATAAATAAACACATTTGCATCCCATTTAAAATAAGATATACAAATTACCAAAACTTAGAAATAACAGTTCAAAAGTTCAACAAAAATCCTACACGCGTTTCTAAAAAGAAACATATAACCACGCACTATGTCATTCCAGCAAACGAATACGACACAGCATAGGTTTCCGGACTAAACGACTGGTGTATTTACACCACTCAATTGCCGAGCGGTTTCCGATGCAGTCGCTTTCTTTCGCATCTGTTGTAATTAATTTGTGCCTATTATATCAGAATAATAATGATCAAATTCGATAAGAAAACTAAGAAAATGTTATTTGTTTATTATTGGACTATTTATTTACCTATGAAACGTATCTCCTGGCTCTTTCGTACCGCTGCAGCTTTTACACTTGAAAGCTGAACAACTAATCACCGTAATAGAGTATATACAAAGTTCACTACACACAAACTATTAAAAATCGCTAAAATTTTCGCTGATGACCAGCTGATGACTCATTCGTTACAACCAAAAAAATGGCGTCTAACGTCACAATTTCTGCTGAAGTCCGTATATGAGCGTTACATGTTACATGTCCTTGTGTCGAAAATCACCCTGCCTACCTCTATATCTCTGGTGCTATCTAAGATTTTAAGAAATTTATGATCACAAATTAATAAAGCTAATTTAAAAATGCTGTTAACCGTTAATAGTCAATAAATAAATAGTCAAAAAATAATTTAATTTGTATTATAATTGATCATTTTATTTTTTATCTACTGTTTGTTGTGTGTAGAAACTAAATTTGTATTAAAACAATAAAAAATGTAGATTAGGAAAGAACCTATTATTGCGCCTTTATTTTATTAGTTGGCTTTTTAAGTTTTTTGCTTGTTTTTAATTTTTTACGGTTTCAAAATTTTACAAAATAATGTAAAAACTAAAAGCCCATCCCTAGTGTGTTGACGAAGTATCGACACCAATCGACACTAAATTCTCTGGTATCGATCATGTATCGATATGAAAATTTGCGTTCGTTGATTCGTCAAGAGAACCCATTTCTATTTCTTTCATTTTTTGAATTCTGACAGGAGTAGTTGTGTAAAATGGTAAGAATTATTTTTATTTATATTGAATGCATCTTAAAATAATTTATAAATTAATTATTCAAGTTATATTCTCTGAGCAGGTTTATAAATTTTTTGCTAAATATTTTTCGTAGAAATTGTAAAATATATCAATCATTGTATATATAATATGTAAGGTTATGTGCAATTGTCACTTTGTGTTTACATGAATATATTTTATTATAAATGGTAGAATTTGGGCCCAAATTTCCTTTAACCATATTAATTGAAAGCATTTTTATTTTAGGCGAAACGTACCAAGAAGGTAGGAATTACAGGAAAATATGGAACCCGTTATGGTGCTTCCCTCCGTAAAATGGTTAAAAAAATGGAAATTACACAACACAGTAAATACTCTTGCAGTTTTTGTGGCAAGGTACTATACAATAACTATTACAAAATGCAAAAAAGTGTAAAACAAAATCTTTAAAATATTTTAGGACGCAATGAAGAGGTCATGTGTAGGAATCTGGTCATGCAAAAGATGTAAACGTGTAGTTGCAGGTGGAGCATGGGTATATTCTACCACAGCAGCCTCTTCAGTAAGATCAGCAGTCAGACGCCTTCGGGAAGTAAAGGAGCAGTAATTGTATAATTTTTAATTTAATAAAATATGAAAATCCCATTGTGTGTATTTCATTTCAATTGTTTTGTTTACTGTTACTGTTTATGGATGTAAAGTTCTATCATTCTATTTATGCAGTTTGTATTTAAAGAAGCCATTATTATTTTGCATTAAAATTACAGCAAATGAAATAAAAATTATAGGTAGTATAATGTTGATATTAACATAATAGATAAGCATTGAACCTAAATATCCATATCTTTTTTAGAAAACCTCGTTCCCAAAGTCAGTTTTTTCGCATTACAAAAATATATTTGCCAAAAATTGAACTAGAGTTTTTTATAGTTAGTGATAGTTATATATGCACGATCAAATCATATTTTTTATGGATAAAAAAATTAATTGTTAATGTGTTAATTCGAAGGACTATATATTTGAGCTATTTCCACCTATTTATCTATGGTATATTTCAGTATTGTTCAGTACTTTGTTCAGTATAATATGATTTGACATCTAAAGTGACAGTTGACATGTGTTTTGTGATTGACATTGACAACTATTTGAAAATTGTCGTGGATGGTGGTGGTTTTAGTTTGAAAATTTTGAATAAAAACTAAAATATGATTTGTGTATTAATTTTGAATAAAATATTATAAAATTAATATATTTATACGTATATAATAGTATTTAAATTAGTATAAAAATGGATAACGAAGCATTTCTGTCATGTGAAGTTAATATAGAATGGGTGAACAAACAGGGTGTTATTCAAAAGAAATTTTCAACTAGGAAAACTAATTTAAGGCTGATTCGAAATGGTGCACGCGATATATTTATTGAAATAGTTGCTGAGAAAGTATCACCGGTGAAATTAAAATTGAAAGGTATTAATGTACATAAAAAATTCATGAATGAAGGAAAAGCATCAATCAAGTTCTTGGAAGAAAATGCAACCTTATATTTATCTAATGCTCCTCCTGGACAGTTGCTATCTTTTTTAAGGTATATCTGATTTTTGTATACTTATTTTCAGAAATTTAATTTCTTTTATTTGAAATTGTAGAACAATGTTTGTTAAGATGACTGGAGAAACATCCATTCAGAATTCAAATAAGTCACTTCGTACCCAACTTCTGACACATAAGCCTAATCAGTATGAAGAAATTTCTCCTATTACTAATCTTGAGATGGAGAAGGCAGCCAAAAAAGCCTGTAAATCAACAGACACAACTCCATCTCCCCTGGCTGGAAAAAAGAGGAAATTTGAAAGGTAGGATTATATTGTTTTAGTTAATATACTTATTTAAAACAGTATTGTTAATTTTACATAAAAAAATTAAAGGATAAGTACTGACAAAGCTCCAGCAGCCAAAAAACTGTATTCAAATTCTCCATTACCAAATGAACCACTAGATATTGAACAGAAAGATGTTATGGATGCTTGTTTATCTGGTCGTAATGTATTTTTCACGGGTAGTGCTGGAACTGGAAAGAGTTACTTATTGAAGAGAATAATAGGGGCTTTGCCTCCTGATGTTACTGTTGCTACTGCTTCCACAGGTAATTCATGACTTTTTGAACATACACCTATCTTAACCATATATTTAGGTGTAGCTGCTTGTCACATTGGAGGAATTACACTTCATCAGTTTGCTGGTATTGGCGGTGGTGATGCTACCCTGGAAAGGTGTTTTGAGTTGGCCTCAAAACCACTTACTGTTAGTATATGGAGAAAATGTAAACATCTTATTATAGATGAAATATCTATGGTTGATGGCTTATATTTTGAAAAAATTGAAGAGGTGAATAGTTACAGTAGTTTTAATTCCTTTCTTGTAATGAAAATTATTTTTAGGTAGCACGAAAGGTAAGAAGAAATGATAAACCATTTGGAGGGATCCAACTGATTCTTTGTGGAGATTTTTTCCAATTGCCACCTGTATCGAAATCAGTTCCGGGACAAAAGAAAGCATCACCAAGGTTTTGTTTTCAAACAAAAGCTTGGCAAAATTGCATGTTAAACACCTATGAGTTGAAGAATGTGCATAGACAAAACGATTACAAATTCATAAGGATTTTAAATAAAATTCGATTTGGTATATATTTGCTTCAAATATTGATGATATTTATGTAATTTTATGTAAGCCTGTACAAATATTAGAGAAAAAATTCTTTTAGGTAAAGTAGATGATGATGTTATAGATATTTTAACCAATACTTCGAATCAGAAAATTGAAAAGGATGGTATTCTAGCAACAAGACTCTGTACCCATACAGCTGATGCTGATATTATAAATGAATCTAAGCTTAAAGATTTAGATGGAGATTCAAAGTTGTTTGAAGCACAGGACCCTGCGCCTGGATCCACAAAACAACTGAATCAACAAACTCCTGTTCCTGGCAAACTGGAATTAAAAATTGGGGCACAGGTAAGGAAATGTATAATTAATAACTTACTCTAGCTTGTCACGAACTTGTGTGATGCGCGGCGCCATTAAAAACTGTACATTTGATTAATTGTATGTATTATAAGCGTATTGGTTGAGCTTTATAGATAACGCCAAGACCTACGCTAAATGCTAAAAATAAAAACATCAACAGCGCGATGATGCGACTGTTCTCATTACATCTTGAACGCCTCCGATCGCGAGCCGGGTTCAGCGAAATTTCCGGCCGCGATTACGTCTCCCGTTCGCTATTTTAGTCAGTTGGTGATGCGGTTTGTGAAACACGTCTTGGTATAAAATAAAAATATAGTCGCGCCTTGCGATGACCAATTAAAAGCTATTGAAGAAGGACCTCCAAAGCAAATTTTGAATATTAATACTAAATTAAAATTGTGTGTTGGTCATTTTAGTGAAAATGTTTATAAAAGTGAACACTGATTATGTGGTTGTAAGGCACTTAGTAAACCTTTTTGTTGGCCTTGTCTACCATTTTCCAAGGAGAAAAATGTATGGAATACTACTGGCTACAATAATTTATAATGAACATTGAAAGTTCATTACTAGAGAGTATGCGTTCTGCTCCTTCATTTAAAGAAAATTTAATAAAAGTTTTCACAAATATACAAAAAGTTGTTCCAATTTCCCTATAGTTTTGTTTTTTTTATCTAAATTTAGTTCATATTTTTAAATTGGTTTCATTATTTTTTTAAACTGTTACATTTTTTGTATATTTTATTTTTATAGGGTGCCCGGTGGCGTAGAGGTACTGCTCTCGTCTAACAATCTAAAGGTTGTGGGTTCGAATCCTACAGCCAGCATTTCATCAATCAACCTTGGGTACCTAGGTCGACTCAGCCTTAGATGAGTAGGTACTTGGGATTCACTATCCTGAGGTAATAATAGGCGGTTGAAGCGTAGTGCTAGCCACATTGCCTTCCTTGTGTACCGAACGGCTCTAGCATTAGTCGAGTAAAAACGATATGAAAATGTGTAAAAATATTTTTTGGAGGTATAACTACATCATATCTATGCAGGATTATCAGTTAGGACTTTGTGCATGTGAAATGACTAATTACGACCTTTTTGGGGGGGTCAGAAATTTTTTATCTTGGAAAATCCCAAAAATCTGTCAAAAATTTATAACTGTTTTTTTACCTTTCATACGCGATAACTCCTAAACTAATCAACTTATTCACATACTCTTTTTTTAATCGATTGAGAACACATAGGCGGTTATAGCTGAAGTAATTGTTCCATAGTGAGTGTATTTTCTTTTGGAAAATGGATTAAACTTCAAACATTAACTTTATTGTATCATGATTTTCGGTGAGCGAGAAACTTTTTTATTTGAAGGAATTTTTACATAGTATCTGTGTATGAAATGAAGTAAAAAATTGAACTATTGAAAAAGTTTTTAAAACTTGGTACAATCTTCTATTGCTAATACTTTTCTAGTTATCCTAAATTAAATTTACGAATAGGCCGCGCGCGAGACCGTTCGGGCCTCGCCCCGAGACGAAGTTCCGTAAGCCTATTTCTGATTATGTGCATTGTACCTGCAGTTTGAAATTCAGTAAACGTACGTTATAAATTATTTAGTTATGGACTGTTTAATTTGCAGAAAAACTATTAACGAAAATGATAAGTTTTTTTATTAAAAATCTTACTATACGAGACCTAAAAACTATCATAAATGCTGCGGAAAAAAGGCAAGATGATGTTGCTGTGACTATTAAGCCAAAAAGGTGATATTATCTATTTTTGGTTTAATATATTAATTAATAATTGTTAATATATTATATTAACAATTATTAATTATTAATATATTATATTAATAAAAAGAAAACTAGTTAAATATGAGATTTTGATATTATAATAATGTGTTTGATATATGATAAAATACGAAAAATGGCAAACATTACAAATTAACTTCTAAGCTTGTTGCAAAAAAATGTTGTTTACAAAGATAGTATACTTGCCAAGTAGGCAAATATTGGCGTACTTGCTAAGTATACGAGTCGTCAGAATCCGCCTTTATATGTAGGCACGCAAAGCTTTCTGGATATGACGATTTATTTGTATATTGTTACGTTTTTCGTCGGTTCCGTGTGGATAGAAAGTCACAATTTATTTAAACACTATTTATTTAACACTAATTAACAAAAATAATAACGATAAAAAACTTATAGAACTATTTACAAACGATTTATAACTAAGAATTTATTTTGAATTTTAGCGCGTCAACTGTATATTTATAACTGCCCTCTCTAGGCCACTGCCGCCGGCTTTTATACCGACAGGTAAAAGAAATCTAGAATAGTCCAAAGATCGTTAGGCGCATAGAGAAGGTTTTCGAATGTTCTCGTATGTACGAGTCCATTCTAGTGGGTCTCGCTTCTTCTCGAACGAATGAATCATTGCGGTGTCTATGCGATGTTAAGGTCATCCGAGGGCGGGCCATATTGTGAGGTTAGGTCGAGTCCACACCGGCTCGCAACACTGCCCCCTTCTTAGGCACATGCTCGTCCCGAGATTATACGGTGAATGAAGGTATTTGCAAAGCTGGCCCCTGGTACATTGCGAAGTCTGGTAGAAATAGCAGTCTACAGTTTTCTCTCCCGATCTCAGCTTTGGGTTGTAGCAGCAAACGAGGATCTCGATTCCCGTAAATCTGAACAAGACTTCAATCATGTTCCGGATTGTACGCCAACTCAAACCATCGAGTCCACACGCCAGCTTCGGAATGGCTAATCGTGCAATGTTGTTGTTTAGCAGGGCTTCTCTCAGTTCAATCAGGGTCTTCCATAGATTGAGATAAGTCGGCTTACTCGGGGACCATTCCTTGGTGACCAGGTAGAAGATGTGCCTTGCTTGACCATGTGCATTGTCGGTTAGCCTCAAGACGCTTCCAACCTCTGGATCCTGTCGGCGTAGTTCTCCGACACGCCCAAACTTCTCATTGAACGTCGCAGCGATTCCTCTGGACATCCGCAAATCTCGAGCCACACAATGAGCGAGCGAATAATCAGGAGGCACGGAAAAGAGGTCTCGTTGATCTTCTTTGGTTACACCATAGCGAGCCTTCTCACTGCTGTTGTATCGGGCCATGAAATCGTCAAAGGACATCTCCGAATCAGGGGGATCAAAGCTGCAGGTTCTCACGGTCCCAGCACGATCTTCTATTTCGCCTTGGTAGGGGCTCAAACGGTTGAAATGGACTACCCTCGGTTTTCCTTTTGGCAATTTTCTGATACGGTATACGACGTCATTAATTCTATCCATGACTTCGTATGGCCCTTCCCACGAGGATTGTAGCTTCGGAGATAACCCACGACGTCTCTGCGGGTTATATAGCCACACCAACTTCCCTGGTTGGTATCCTCCATGCTCAGCTTGAATGTCGTAGTGTTCCTTCATTCGGTCACTAGCACTTTGAATATTTAGGCGGACTCTCTGATGAATGTCGTCCATCCTTTGACGTAGTGTGTGGACATAATCTTCTCCGGCGACTTCTTCTCCCGGTCGGCAACCAAATTTCAGATCACAGGGTAGGCGCACTTCCCGTCCCATAACGATGCTGGCTGGAGTTTGCCCTGTAGATTCTTGGACGGATGAACGGTAGGCCAACAGGAACAGGTGAAGAAATTTGTCCCAGTCTCTTTGGTGGTCAGAGACTACTTTGGCCAGATAACGGTTGATAGTTCTGTTCATGCGTTCAACCATCCCATCGGATTGTGGATGTAGAGCAGTCGTCCTGGTCTTGCGGATGTTCAGGACTTCACAGACGCCTTGGAACAGATTGGACTCAAAGTTTCTTCCCTGATCTGAATGAAGCTCCATGGGAACACCAAACCTGCAGATCCATTCTTTAACAAGGGCATCAGCAATCGTGGACGCTTCTTGATTTGGCAACGCGTAGGCCTCGACCCATTTGCTGAAGTAATCCATTACTACCACAATGTATTTGTTGCCATCGTTCGTCTCCGGGAAAGGACCAGCCACGTCGATCGCTATTCGTTCGAAGGGACTACCAACATTGTACTGGCGCATAGGGGCTTTACCACGCTTTTGTGGCCCATTAATGGCTGCGCAAATGTCACATTTCTTACACCAGGCCCTCACATCTTCTTTGCAGTTCACCCAGTAGAACCGTTCACGCAGCTTGCCAAGTGTCTTGGTAACACCAAGATGTCCACCGCTGGTTCCATTGTGAACTTCCGCCAAGACTTCCGGGACCCTCTTCTTTGGAATGACGATCTGCCTTCTCTCTTCTTGTCCCTCTGGTCTCTCAATCACACGGCGAAGTAATCCGTTATCTATACCAATGAATTCCACTGGGACCAGTACGACTTCACGTTCGGCGAATATCTGCAAACTTCCTCCCACGTTGGTCTCTGGTCCGCGTTTTTCCAGTTAATCACCAAGCCCAACTCTGGATCACTGATTTGGTCATTTGCAAGATCTTCGGTTTGCCAACTATCACCAACCACAGTCGTCCTTAAGACTTTCACTTCTTTCTCTTCTTTGTAACGATTTCCCATCTGTCCGCAATTCCAACAGCGAATCGGTCCCCCCTTCTTGCTCATATACTGATCCAGTACTTTCCGCACAATCCTTTCCACTTTGGAATCGTCGGAACTCTCCTCAACAGCCCGTACAAATCCTAGAGACCTAGAGCATTCTTTCGCGGCCTCAAATTCCAGGGCACGTGCTAGGGCATCTCCCAAATGCGTTGGATGAGCTAAAAGAAGTGTTTGCCTTGTCTCGTTGTCACGTAAACCATCAATAAAAGCCTGTACTGTTAAGCGCTCCATAACATTTTCGGGCATAGCAGGGTACGCAAGGCGAACGAGGCGGGCTACGTCGGCTTCAAACTCCTGCAGAGACTCATTTGACTTTTGAATGCGATTTTTTAGCTGGGAATGATAGACATGTTCCAAATGAGCTTGGCCGTACCTCATTTCTAAATGTCGTACCAATTGCTGATAATCTCCCTGTTCCGATGGTGACAATGTCTGCAGAATATCAGTCGCATCTCCTCGCAGTGCGACAGTCAAAGCGGTAGCCTTTTCAGCGATTGTCCATCCGTTCGCTCTCAGCGGCCTCAAACTGGCAAAATAATTGGCCCAAGCGGTTTTTCCGTCAAACTGTGGAGGCTTAATAACTGACTTTGAGATATACTTATTTTCGACTAGTTTCGGTGCCTCCGATGTTTCTTGACATTTTGGTGAATTGGCCTTTTCTATTTCTTGTTTTAAAATTTCGATTTTTTATTTACCTCGTCCTCAATTTGTGTTATTTTGTCTTGTAGCTCCGTAGAATTCTCTATAATCTTTTCTTCTAATTCCTGGAATTTTCTGTTATCTTTTCTTCTAAATTAAGTATTTTATTATTAAAGCTGGCCTGTATGTCTTTAGAATTTTCTGCGATCTTATCTTCCAAAATATTAATTTTATCACTGATTTTCTCTTCTAAATTAACTTCCAAGTTAATCATTTTACTATTCAAATTGTTCAAGTTGTCGTTTAAATTGTCTTGTAAAATTTTCAATGACGAGTCAAGGTCACCTTCCAGGTCAAAGCAAAATGTTTCAGGATCCTCACCTTCCTCCACCAAAACGTCTCTCAGTCTGGCTTGCAAAATGCTTTTCTTTCCATCTGTCTCGCACTCTCTCTCTTCCAATATGCATTTCAGTTCGGACACTTTCAAGTCTTTCAACAATTTTTTCAGAGCCATGGTCAGTCTTTTTTATTCTTCAGTCTATCACACACGCCACACTTGACACCAATTGTTACGTTTTTTCGTCGGTTCCGTGTGGATAGAAAGTCACAATTTATTTAAACACTATTTATTTAACACTAATTAACAAAAACAATAACGATAAAAGACTTATAGAACTATTTACAAACGATTTATAACTAAGAATTTATTTTGAATTTTAGCGCGTCAACTGTATATTTTTAACTGCCCTCTCTAGGCCACTGCCGCCGGCTTTTATACCGACAGGTAAAAGAAATCTAGAATAGTCCAAAGATCGTTAGGCGCATAGAGAAGGTTTTCGAATGTTCTCGTATGTACGAGTCCATTCTAGTGGGTCTCGTTTCTTCTCGAACGAATGAATCATTGCGGTGTCTATGCGATGTTAAGGTCATCCGAGGGCGGGCCATATTGTGAGGTTAGGTCGAGTCCACACCGGCTCGCAACAATATGATGCTAAATACCACAACGATTGTTTATATAATCTCAAACAAATCAAGGCTAAATTAACTACATTTTTAATTAAGAAAGCATACTATCATCATCATCATCATCATTTAGCTTATAGCGTCCACTGCTGAACAAAAGCCTCCCTTAACTCTAGCTATTTCCTTCTATTTTGTGCCACTTGAATCCAGTTTCCAGCCACCCTCTTAATGCCATCTGTCCATCGACTAGGAGGTCGTCCTCTGCTTCTATAGGCCTCGTGTCTCGGTCTCCATTCCACAAGTCTCTTTGTCCACCGTCCATCTGTCATCCTAGCCACATGTCCTGCCCAATTCCATTTAAGATGTAAGACAGATATCACCGCATCTCTTACTCCTGTTCGATTTCGTATTGTATGATTGGGTATTTTATCTCTGAAGCATACTATACACTGGATGAATTTTTCACTGACATAAATTAGTATTTTTATAATATCTCTTCCAGCTTTTATTGTTTGTGATAAAAATGTTGTGCTTTCCTTGTGTGTTTTTTTTAAATAGGTAATTATGGTTTTTGTGTTATAGATAGCAATTCATTCAAACATATTTCATATCATGTGAAATGTTATAAATTCTATTAAATACATGTGAATCACATATATTTTAATTTCTAATTCTACGTTAAAATTACTTTTAGTAATTTTTTTGCATTTTAATTGAAAGTATATTTATTTTTATAGTAAATATTTATTTAATATTAATTGCGATATACATACATATGCATATCTTTTTATTCAACTGTAGTCATATACATAATTAAGTATTATTGGTTTTTAGGCTCAAGTTAATTCAATTTTAACAATGCTCCATGCTTGTTAGGATTTGTAACAATACTTTGTTATAGTTAGAGATCAAATAAATATTATCTAGCCTAACATCCTTCATTAAAATCTATAACGTTGGATAGAAAAGAATCTAAAAAAAGATTTGAAGAAGAGAAAAATCTAAAAAAGAATCTAGGGTGGCAAGTAGTAAGTAATCTAGCATGGCAAAAGTAACTTTTTAAACTGAACTGATTTTAACAACACTTTAGTTGACAACGAAATTTTTGTTTCCAAAATATTATACTTGCCATTTATAAACAATCCACCTACCGAATGTGATACCATATATACTTCGATGGTAAGATTAGTAGATTTAGCTCAAACTTTAAAACAAAACCATATTTATATAACAGCACACTTGGTCATTTATACAAAAGCTCACGAAATATTACGGAATAATCCTAAATTATTACATGGGAAATTAACATTTATGCTACGCGGAATGCACCTTAATCCGGCGTTTTTTGTCAGTATTGGATATATTTTTTTTTGAGATGGAGGCCTTTTTGCCATTTTAACGGAAACAGATAATTACGTCGAAAATACTTGCAAAGTTATGTAGGATGAAAAATAATATTCCAGGGCTATTCGAGGACTAACTTTAGTTGCCGATGCTCTATTTAGGTTTTTGTTTAAATCTTTATGTAAGTGGTATAAGAGTAAAATCAGAAAACACAAATGATAACACCTACATACTATATTAAAAGAAGAAATTCGTAGTTTAATAAAAGAGTTTTAATCCTATGCAAACTTCAGGATATGTCCTTATTATGTAATAAAAATAATGTAATCATGTTTTCATAAAAAAATATTACAATAATATGTCATATTAAATCGACACCTACATATGTGCCACTCAGATATTAAATAATTACTTATAAAGAATTTTCTACATTTACTCTAAAACATAAATTAATGCCACATCTAGCACGCCGCGCCGTACAACGTGATGCAGCCGGGCGGTATATAGCGCGGCGACTCTAACTACAGCGCGCGCACGGGATACTGATAACTTTAAATCAGTATAACTATAAAACTATTAGTAATAGAAGGTTGTAACAAGTTTTAAAAACTTTTTCAATATTTTTTCTTTATTTCATACGCAGATACTATGTAAAAATTCCTTCAAATAAGAAAGTTTCTCGTTTACCGAAAATCATGATACAATAAAGTTAATGTTTGAAGTTTAATCCATTTTCCCCAAAAAAATACACTCACTATGGAACTTTAATTACTTCAGCTAGGACCGTCTATGTGTCCTCAATCGATTAAAAAAAAGAGTATGCAAATAAGTTGATTAGTTTAGTTAGAGTTATCGCGTAGGAAAGGTAAAAAAACATGGTTATAAATTTTTGACAGATTTTTGACTTTTTCCGGGATAAAAAATTTCTGACCCCTCCAAAAAGGTCGTAATTAGTCATTTCACATGCACAAAGCCCTAACCGATCATTTCATAACGATTTTATGTGGTTATACCTTCAAAAAATGTTTTTCGAGAAGGAAGCGACTTTTCTCAGTAATTTTACTCCACTACATGGCAAGCTGTACCTTGCTATTCCCAAGGCGTTAAACGCTATATACGGGAGCTATTATTATATTATTTTTATAACTTGAAAATTAAAGACTTTAATAAAAAAAAAGAAAAAAAACTTTAGGGCTCGAACTCACTGACGACCAGGTCGCAACGACCTGGCCGTCGGCTGGCCGGATGTATTGCCTTTTTAGCTGCGGCCAGATGAACGACCAGTTTCAACAGAGTTGTCAAATCTAACGATTTTTTACGTTTTACCAATTAGAAAATATTGTTTCAGAAATGTTAAAATATCCGAGTTAACTAAAAAGCGAAGTTGCTATTTACAACAAATAAAAAGCATTGTGTACGCGCGACCGACAAAAAGGGAGATATTCTGTTTCTTTTTTCTACTGATATGGCGCCCTTACCGACTTTAGAAGTAAACATATTAGGGCCATCGTAAAAAAAGATCGTCAAACATTGGCTCTAAATATAAGCAGGTAGAAAGTTTAGCTTCCAGTTATTTCAATGTTTACAATATAACGAAGAATCTACAACAGTATAATTACTTCTATTTTTATGAATGTTTAAGTTACTTTCTTAATTTTTTTTTCAAAATAATGTACCTAGTAGAAATATAGTCTAATGAACCCTGTTTGAAAAACGTTAAATTAAATATCATATTTAAAATACAGTTGTCCTCCTTGTACATGACTACAATACAACTAAAAAAACTAATTTAATAAAAAAAAACAAGTGGTTGTAGAAAAACTTTAAATATTTTTTTTATTTTTTAAAAATCGAAACTCAAAGGTATAATAACAGGTATCATACCAACCATAAATAGAGTAGGTACCTATGTCATATAAAAATGTTTTGAGTTTTTACTAGAATCGACCCTTGATTAAAAAAAGGGATTAGATTTAAGTTTACCTTTGATCCAGTCTGTATAGTATTTCTTTGGATTTTCTGCACGTGTGCAAAAACTACACTAAAACACTATATCTTACAGAAAATAAAATATTGTGCCTTGAATTTGGGGGATTTTCTTCTGAAAAAATATTAATTTGGAAGAAAACCGGCAACAAGCCGGCCAGGACGTTAGTGTGCGCTATATCATTAGATTTATGGTTTTAGAGGTAGGTGCGGCCTGGCCGGTGCGACCTGGTCGTCAGTGTGTTTGAGCCCTTATTATGTTGGTAAAATGTTAAATGCAGTTACTTATTACAGCACCTTGTATTGACACCATGCTACGCCGCTGACATACAGTTAATACAATGCACGGTTTTACTGCCCGCTTTGCACAAGTGCGAGACAAGCTTAACTTACAGCGTTTTTAGGTAATGCTGTTGAAAAACATTAATATATCAGTTGGTTTAGTCAATGGTGCTAGAGGTGTGGTAACAGGTTTTAGAGAAGGACTTCCAGTAGTACAGTTTAGGAATAAAAAAGAATATGTTGCAAAACATGAAAAATGGACGATTAAAACTGCAGGTACAAAAATGAAATGGTTCTTTTTTTAATTAAGTAAATGAAATAATCAATTGGTTAAAATTAAAGGCGGAGGTTCTATCACAAGGAAACAAGTACCTTTAAAGCTAGCCTGGGCGTTTTCCATACACAAATCCCAAGGTTTAACACTAGACTGCGTCGAAATGTCTTTGGGAAGAGTTTTTGAAGCAGGCCAAGCATACGTTGCATTAAGCAGAGCTCAGAGTTTAGATACACTTAGAGTGTTGGACTTTAAGTAAGGGATGTGATTATTTTTAATGTTTTTACTCTAATTTTTATTTATTAGGTCAAGCCAAGTGTGGGCAAATCCAGATGTATTGAATTTCTACAAGACTTTAGATGATATTAGAATAATACCACTGGGACCAACGAATAAAACTGTGAACAAAAAAGACAGCAAAAAGAATAATTTTAAATCAAAACTTATGCTTAATAAGCCTTTAGTGAATATTTGTTAAATTAGAATATTTATGGATGGATGTCTGGGATTCTAAAGAAAAGTCAATTTTAACAATATGTTTGAAGTGAAAGCGAAACTTCTTTACGCGAGCTGAGAGTAAAAATTCAAAGCCGTGACACAAAAGCGCGAGACGAAAAGTGGTAAGGACAGCATACAGCTTAGAAATACGTAGTGACGCGACGTGTATTTGTAAGCAGTCCACCTGTTTATCAGAAATATTGATATTTTCATACAAATTTTGTGAAAGAGAATCAAATTATTATTAATTGTTTTAATTTATTATTTTTCAACATTTCAAACTACACTTTTCCCTTCAAATCCTTCAATTTAATAGCTGTTGCTATTAACACAGATTATACAGATTATAAAATTATCGCCAAAAGCATTGTATTTAGTGGTTCCGATTTTCGGAGTCGCGCACTAGTTAGGTTACTAGTTTGGGCACAAGCACGCCCACTTATGGCCTCTAAAATTGTGCACAGCGCCTGCCCGGCCCACTTATTACGCTGTTTAAACGGGAGTTTATTTTTGCGCACAAGAAAATTTACTCGTTTGCTCATCGTCATAAAAAACAATTTTCGTACCACGAATTAGGGACAAGATTTTTATCTGTATACTTATAGGATACCTAATCTGTGCTATTAGTAAGAGGTTTCACTTCAAATATGGGCACATAGTGCACTCACAATTTTTTTTATATACCGTGCTGGCAACTGTTACTTTTGGGTCGGCATTTACATGTATGGAAGTAAATCGCATAGGGATTTTATTAAGTCGGAGTGAGAGAAATGCGACCGACCGACGCGACGCGCGACGGTGTGCTGTTGTGGCGTTGCCGATACGCTTTTCCCTATCAAGTAAAATCACGATCGCAAACCGTTTATTTTTAAAAGACTTTTTTTTCAAGAGATAACTAGATAAAATCATTAGACATGTTTCTGAGCATCTGAAATGGAATTATAAGAAAACGTCAGTAATCGCGATAATTTAAAAACTGAACTTTTTAACACATAACAGGCCATAACTCAAGAACCACTTTAGATATTGAAACTTTTTTTTATTCTCAAGATCGGATATTTTACAATATGTTTACATAAGAAAAATTCGATAAGGTTGTTTTTTCTATTCAAAAATTGTAAACAATCCATCCATTTACTTTTAGAGCATAGCAATTTTCAGCAATCGTGTAATTTTTTTATTGATAAAGATTTTCACATACTGTCTACAAAGAAAATACAGCAGAAATATTAACAAAGTTCTTGAAAAAACTACAATCTATTATTTCTAATAGATTTCGAGATATCGATTTTTGAATTCAGAGTTCTAATAAGTGTTTCTAGCTTGCACTTAAAAAAAATCAAGCTATAGGGAAAATTACAACGATTCGTTAATAAATGAGCAAATTAAGTATCACGAGACGTAATTAAATCGTGAAGCTGAACGCATGACGTACACCTTTCCCTAGAACTTTAAGTACTGACAGAGGTATTGTTTGGGTCGACCGATCAACTGTGACAAATCTGCTATATCCCCTTCCACGTCTCTTAGCGATGTGCACAGTTTCTCGGTTTATTTCATACGTTTGGCAACGTGTTTACTGTCCTCTCTTTGTTCAGTACATTATAAACGCATTGTACTCTTACATACGGAAATCTCGACCCAAGACTAATCTTTGCCAGCCCTTAGTATACCTTTATTTCATAGTATATTACATAATGAGTGCTGTAATTTACATACAAACACGAATTACATCCTATACTTTACGTCCATATACAATATAAAATTTAAAGCAGAAATTTTATTAAATAATGTCAAAGATTTTTTAAATTTGACTATGATGCCGAGCGAGTGTTATCATAGTAATAATCCCATGCATTTTGCTCACTGTGTGTTAGGAAGACAAATAAATACCGTATGATCGAAAAAAAAACGGCGTCAGCGATGGCTATGAAATGAAGATTGCTGTCATTTAATATGTAAATTTATATGGGAAATGTCATCGATCGTCATTTACCCAGACAACTGGACGTCGTTTTTTCAATCATACAGTACAATATGATCGAAAAAAAAACGGCGGCAGCGATGGCTATGAAATGAAGATCGCTGTCATTTTACATGTATGTCGCTGTCATTTTTTATATATGGGGAATGTCATCGATCGTCATTTCCAAACCAAATGGACGCCGTTTTTTTTTTGATTAGGTATACAGTATGTACTTACTTACTGCTTAGGTATACAAGGTGTCCCAGAAATAAGTGCAAGTATTTTAACTGGTAGTACAGTTCAACCTCAGAAACACGCCTATGAGGTTTTTTTACAATTTTTTTTTGTAGATTCGAAATTTTTTGAAATTTTTTATTGGATTTTTGTTTAGTTTTTAGTTAAAAAATATAATTTCTTGATAATATGGCAACATAGGTAGTAGATTAAATTTACAAGAAAGAAAATCCAGAAAAGATCCAGTGGTTCTCAAAATTTGAGCAAAAAATCATTTTTGTTTGGAAATTTTCAAAGTAAAATAACCGTTATTTTGGACTTATTTGAAAAACGATAAAGAGAAAATATGTTTCTTTTAACGAGATCTACCACCCCTTGAAATACTTGCACTTATTTCTGGGACACCCTGTATAGGTTGGGTATTTTTTTATGTGTAGTGTTATCTAAACATCTACAAAAATAAATTAATTTTTAAAACATGTCTGATCTGAATACATGTGGTATTACATTAACTATATTTTATATTTACACTTTTTTATATATTTTATATTTAGTACATATAAGCGAATATAATATTAGCATAGTATAAGGAAACTAGTAGTTTTACTCCTTGTCAAATCCTTTGTTCTTTTTCTGCCACTTTATATGACCTTGTTCTCGCCTCCCGTGACCACTGACGTACCTGTATAGCCGTGGCACTCGCCATAGTTTCACAGATATGTATTTAGGAAACTATGAGTTCACAATAAAATAAAATAAAAAAATTGATCATCGAGTAAAAACTTGCTTGAAACCAGAATATTTTTACATTTCGCGTAGGTAAAAATTCTTCTGTATCTGAAAATCTCCTGACTGGAAGAAATGCGGAAAAAATATATAATGACATATTTTTATATTATTATCTATTTCGGAGATTTTCTACAACTTTTTTTTATTTAAAACAAGTTTAATTTTCTGTACATAACTGGATTCGGCATAAAATTCTGCATATAGTACACCGTCTTTATTTAAAGCACACTGCGGTGTGGCCATTCTATTTCTTATTTACTAAAACTTTGGTTAAAAACATTATATACGAAAGGTGGTAAAAAACTAGAGTGAATATAAGAATAAATAAAGTAATAAAAATAAGAATATAAGAAAGGATACCAGAATAAATTCGTGTAGAAAAATTTACTTTATCGTATAAAGGATATTTTTTAAGGCGTCACCAAAATCGTAATATTTAAACTATTGTATCTCATTTTTTTTTAAATGCAACAACTTGTATATTATTTTTCTTTCAGATGTAGAATTAAAAGGTAAACATTTTTTGTATTTAAAGTGTTCTTAAATTTTTAGTCTTTTTGCAAATATTTTCTGTATTTCATTACATATGGGATTTCCAACGATAAAATATCAGACAAAGATCATATTAGGCGGCTTTGATAAAAATTTACTGTTTAAAGAGCCATATGTAATATAATACTGCGAATATCTGCGAAACCGTTAAAAATTTAGAAACCCTTTAAATAAAAAAATGTTCACTTTTTAATTCTGCATTTGACAGAAAAATAATACCTATACAGAATGTGGCATTTAAAAAAATTGAGATATACCATTTTAAGTATTCCGATTTTGGTGACGCCATAAAAAATACCCTATACAGGGTGTCCCAGAAATGAGTGCGTAATAAATGAGGCTCCAACACAGCAGCTATGCTATCCAGTGAAATAATCCTCTTTCAACGGTAAAATGAGTGCGAAATAGAATAATGTATATAGAATGATGTAAAATAATTTAAAAAAAATAAAACTAACTTTACCATAACTTTTTTGTGACACCTTGTATATAACAAAATATTTTAGGATACGCCCCTTTATAAACCTTGAAACATATGAATAAAACTTTTTTCACATCTTCGACAACGACGACGATATTGGATTTCCTCGCACTAATGGGCCAACCTGTATATTTAAGGTGGTTTAAAGCTAGCTGTGGCACTTTTCTTCCCTCAAATATAAACTCAATATTTTGTCTATAATATTTTGAATATTGTTATATTACGACCACTTATAATAAAAAATAAATATAAAAAACATAAAAAATACAGTCCACTAAATTTATAAGAGATTATGCTATTATAAAATTCTTTCAATTAAAAAATATGAATAATTTACGGAGACTTTAGATGTACAAAATATTTACTCTAAAATTGTTTCAAAAATAAATCTATATAAATTATCTTGTAAACTATTATTGGAATGAAAATTTTATGGCAAATCCCCTGACCAAAAAATATTTTCATGCGCATATTTGAGACAACCTGTATATCTAAAAAACTAATTACATAATATCTCAGCTTCTAAAATAACCAAATATAATTAAGTGTTAATTGATAATTACTATCAGCTTGCCGATTATATCCGATGGAAATCTAAAAAAATTCAAAGAACAATTTTTTGAATTAAGGCCGGTTTTCATATACGCTTCGCCGCGCTTCACTGTACTTGACTTGGCTTCGCGACAAAGCGTCAATTTACCGAGATGAATTTACATATAAGCTTCAAAACAGAGCGTCAGTTCACGTGAAACCAGCAGTGTGGCTACGAAGACGACCTGAATTGAAATGTTTAGTATGAGCAGTTCTGACAGTTCTTCATCAGATGGAGCATTTGTTCTAGCACCAGTGTGTGATTACGAACAACGGAAAAAAAAAGAAAACGCTGTGAATATTGGGTACATGATATTTTCCAAGCTAGACTGTCAGAAGTGGAATTTCACACGCTTTTTAAACGACCGATAGAAGACGCAAACAAATTTTATAAATATTTTAGAATGTCTCCAGGGAAATTTAATTTGTTACTGGGATTAGCAGCAGAGAAATCCACAAAACAAAATAGCAGATTCCGACCTTGTATAGGACCTCAAGAACGTTAAACACGCTTGATCGAGCAACGCTGCACTTCAAATGCGCGAAAGAAAGCTCTCCGACAATTGGAGGCGTCAAGTCGGTTGAAGTCAAGCGAGGCGCAGCGTAAATGAGAACTGCTACGTAAGAAAACACAAAGACTTTTTAACGCGACATTTTGACGCTCGATGAAGTCAAGCGTAGTAAAGCACGATGAAGCGTATATGAGAACCGGCCTTTACTACTACAATTAATAGCAGCACACAGTAATGCACTCATTTTTTATCAATCCGTCTCTGTGCTGGAACGCAACGCTCGAACCTCGCAGCTCGACGGACGCAATTCAACTGAAACGCTTTGCAACCTGCCGATATTCGACAGCTTGCAAAAACTGGCAGAAAATATTTGCGAGAGTGCAACTACTTTTTTCCTTAAACTATGATATTAGATACCTAATATTTGTGTAATAAATATATTTTCTCAAAAAGTCACCTATCACTGTGTCAAATAAGATAATTAATTTAAAGTTTTAGAGGATTAAATAATATAATTTATAGTATACTTAGTTATATTTCAATTTAATTTGACTAGATTATATTTTATGGGAAAATAGATACTGCAATAATATAACATTTGTTAGTTTTTATCTTTATGCAGGGTGAATCTTAAATAAGTGCAAGTACAGGGTGGCGCACCTCATTCGCCTCGGTTGATTAAACGGAAAGATGTAGAAACAAAATATTTTATGGGTATATGTAGAGAAGCAATGTGTATTATATAAAATTATTTTCATATGCACAGGGTGTGTCCAAACTAAGATCCATACCAAAATTATATTTTTTCTTATGGAACACCGAGTATTTTATATCATTTTTGGATTCTTGGGCATACAATAAGGCATTTATTATAAGGGTTTATTATGTTTAAATGCTTTGGTTTTTGAGATATTTAAAGAAATATGCATGCTATAATAAAAAAGTTTATACACCCTGTACATTATTAGAGTTAATTCTTGTGCTGACTTTGAAGCCAGAGAAATAAACTTTTCTAAAAACTTTTATTGCTTCCTTAAATGTATACAGGGGTATCAAAAATTGCTGGTCTATTTTAAATATTTATTTTATATTAAAAACTTCGATATTTCAAATACAACACTAGGTATTTTTTAAAATAAGTCGAAGCAGATTTAAACCCTCTTTCAAACTATATTAGGGTTTCCTATACCTATACGGCTCAGGTTTTGAATAAAAAGCAATTTTTCGATAAAATGATAATCAAGATGGCTGGTGTCGCATGTCGCCGTGGCAATTTGCTAGTAACTGTTATAGTAGCTAGTTTCAAAATCGACATTAGTTTATGGACTTTATTTAAATTTATAACAGTTTACTTTTATTTAATTTACCTACAATAGTTTAATAAGTAAGTAGGTATTTATTATTTTATGAAGAAAAATAAAGAAGTAGTTCTTTGATTTATATTACGATGACTTGTAAATATATTAGATTTTCTATAAAAGAACCAATTAAGGCAAATTTATTTTCTTCACTTCTAACGACAGGTTTCTGCTTAATAGGTTTTTCATATACCACAATATTAGCTCTGCGAAATAGGGAAAGTAGTTTTTCAAAGGAACGCTTGTCAAGAAAATTCCTATTTGAATATCTTTGAGCATAAACCCTTCAGGCCAACAAGGAATTAATTATCCTCACAAAATAAAATCACTAGTAACATATCCATTCCTTCCTCCAGAAGATACTGCTTCATTTTTCTTGATAAAATAATAAATACTTACTTATTAATATTACTGTAGGTAAATTAAATAAAAATAACCTGTTATAAATTAAAATAAAGTGCATAAACTAATGTCGATTTTGAAAACAGCTACTAAGTATCAGTAGAAAATTGTCATGGTGACACCAACCATCTTGATCACAATTTTATTGAAAAATCGCTTTTTATTCAAAATCTGAGCCAGATAGGTATAGGAAACCCTAATAGAGTTTGAAATAGCATTTAAATCTGTTTTGACTTATTTAAAAAAATACATAGTGTTGCATTTGAAATAATAAAGTTTTTATGTAAAATAAATACTTAAAATAGACCAGCAATTTTTGATACCCCTGTATGCATTTAAGGATGCAATAAATTATTTTAGTAAAGTTTATTTCTCTGGCTTGAAAGGCAGCACAAGAATTAAAATAAGTCTGTTTCAATTAAAGTACAATTCTGAAAAGTAATGTACAAGGTGTTGACAAACTTTCTTATTATTGCATGCATATTTAAATATCTTTAAACATCTCAAAAACCAAAGCTTTTAGACATATTAAACCCTTATAATAAATGCCGTATTTTATGTCCAAGAATCCAAAAATGAAATAAAACACCGGGTGTTCCATAAGAAAAAATATAACTTTGGTAATGATCTTAGTTCTGACACACCCTGTATATTGGAAAATAATTTTATATTATGCACATTGCCTTCCCATATACATATACCCATAAAACATATACCCATAAAATATTTTGTTTTTACATCTTTCCGTTTTCGTATAATCAACCGAGGCGAATGAGGTGCGCCACCCTGTATATGTTTAGGACTGGTAGATCTTGAAAGATAAATTGAATAATCCTTTCCCTTTGCCGTTTTTCAAATAACTCCAAAATAGCAGAGTTTAATTGATATATTTTTAACTGAAAATTTGACAAAAAAATTATTGATCTAAGAATACAAAATTTTCATTTTTTTCAGGAAAAAAACTATTGCAACGTTTTGCAAAATTTCAGAAAAAAATGCTATTTCAAACTGGGGCTGAAATATATCACACCCAAAGATCACCCCTAAAAATATTTGCTCATATTTAAGTTTTATATATTTTAGATTAAAAATCTTATAAAATATGGATATGTATAATATATTAAATCTTTCAAATTGAAGAGCACGCGGGGAAAACAAAGAAACTATATTTTTTTGCTAATTTGATTTTAATGCATAATATTTTCTGTCTTCAAAGCTATACCGTTTGGTACCTACCTTTTGATTAAAAATTGGAAAAACAATAAAAGTCCATGCGTAATTTGAATTAAAAAACGCTGTCCTGGACATTTATCGTTTCTGGACGCTCATTATTTTTCCGTGTTCATATTAAAAACATAATAGATTATATTATAAGCATATTATAAGATTATACCGTATGATCGAAAGAAAAAAAAAATCGGTGTCCAGTTGGCTTGAAATGACGATCGGTGACATCCCTATATAATTTTCTATATAAAATGACAGCTATCTTTATTTCATAGCCATCGCTGACGCCGTTTTTTTTTCGATCTTACGGTACATTCAAGGGGTACATTATAGGGGCTTTGGTAATACCGGGGCTTTTATTTACATTTAATTATTAAAGAAATATCAACAGTGATAAACGTGATAAATTTGTACCTAAATTCCTCGAAAAATATTTGATAATCATAATTTTTTTATTATTATAATGCGATTTATCATAGATATAGATAGTCTTTGAGGTTTCTAAACCTAAGGATAGGTGGATTCATATAATTCATATGTATATGATTTTGTATCCTGCCATCTGTCAATGTAAAATCTTTTATAGGGATGTCCCAAAAATAAAATAAATCGATATTTTGAATCGATTTAAGATCGATCTAGAAAAAAATCGGCAACAAAAGATCGATCTTATTAAATATCGATATTCGAAGGTGAATATATTGTATACTGGTATAATAAAAATAGGATATAATCATAAAAAAAATATTAGATACGAAAAAATCGTAAAACCGTTTATTAACACAATTAAAATAAAAACTGAATCAGTCACCCTAAACTAAAACAGAAATAACCACAAACCGAGACATACTTGTGAAATTAAAAATACTTGACAGTGTTAAAATAGCCTTTTGTTTTGTTCGCCTTTTTGCATGCTTATGATGATTTTGACACAGAATGTACCAGTAAATTCTGTGATTTTGATATATCAGTTGGTTGGGAACATGTTGGGAAGAAGCTAAAATCAAAGAATATTCTACGTTATCTAAAATATAAAAATATGGGAATCACAAAGGAATCACCGACAAAAATTTAACACCTCAGATCAAAGTGATCATAACCACAGAACACACTAAAGATCATAACACACATCGGCGCATGCGGCAGCGAGCACTTACACTTAATTTTCAATTCATTGCTAGATGGCGTTTTATTAGGGATGCATTATACACAAATATTCAAGCAACACTAAAGTGTTTCTTAGTTTCTTCTTATTCTAACAAATAGATAAACCTGTTAAACTGTATAAATAAAATCGATCTTCGATTTTGAAAAAAAGATCGATTTTACTAAAAGATCGTTTGATAAAAATCGATCGATTTTAATCGATTTTTCGGGTAAAAATATCGATCTTCGATTAAAATCGATTCGAATCGTACATCACGACCTAATCTTTTAAGGTTCTATAGCCTATGGCCACGGACCTATGGTAGATCTTGGGAATCTTGGGATAGATGGCAGTCATGTATCTATGTTCTATGGATTGTGTTCCGTCTCCGTTTTGTGGTCTCCGTCTTCCGTCATTAGTGTCAGTTTGTGTATATAATTTCTGTTATTTCTATTGTAATTTGGAATTCTTTGTAATTCTTTCCATTTTTTGTTTTGTATAATACCTATCTATAATGGTAATTGATAACAAGCGAAAAGCTGAAGATTCAGCGATAGTAGCTGTACAGAAAAGGCCGAGAAATGAAGTGGGTATTACAAACAAAAACAAACAAGTTAGTCAACTTCAACCGGTAAGTATTATTTATCCAGTATAATTTTGGAGCTAATTTATTGTTTCTAACTTATTTAGGCCCCAGCAAGAACTTCTAATCTATTTGCTCCAATTATGGTATGCGAAGGCCACGAAGGAGAAATATTTACAGTCGATTTTCACCCTGAAGGGCAATATTTTGCTACCTCTGGTTTCGATCGCAAAATATGTAATTTTGTATGTTTTTAGTTTAGTTTTATATTTATTTAGATTTTTTGTAGTTTTATGGAATGTGTATGGGGAGTGTGAAAACATTTCTGTTATGGCTGGGCATACAGGGGCAGTAATGGAACTTCATTTTACTCCTGATGGTTCGAATATTATTACTGCCTCAACAGATTACACTTTAGGACTTTGGGATATTGTTACTGGTGACAGAATTAGGAAGTATAAAGGTCACAACACATTTGTAAACTGTGTGCAGGGTGCAAGAAGAGGACCCCAATTAATGGTTTCAGGTGGAGATGATAGCACAGTTAGAGTTTGGGACCAAAGAAAGAAACAGCCTTCAATGTCTATGAATAGTGTCTATCAAACAACAGCAGTTAGTTTTAATGATACTGCAGAACAAGTATTCAGTGGAGGCATAGATAATGATATAAAGGTAATATTAATCATATGTAAAGGTCCTAGTTATTTAATACAATCATTTAGGTATGGGATATTAGAAAAAAAGAAATACTTTACGTGATGAAAGGGCATACGGATACTATCACAGGCCTATCATTAAGTGCTGATGGATCCTATATGTTAAGTAATTCCATGGACAATACTTTAAGGATATGGGATGTTCGACCTTTTGCTCCTGTTGAGAGATGTGTTAAAGTTTTTAGCGGGCATCAACATAACTTTGAGAAGAATTTATTACGCTGTGCATGGTCTCCAGATGGCAATAAGGTATTTGAAATACGACTTATAAAGTAAACAGATATTTTATGCTCTTACATTTAGGTTACTGGAGGATCAGCAGATAGATTTGTTTATATTTGGGATACCACTTCACGCAGAATAATATATAAATTACCAGGGCATACAGGATGTGTAAATAGTGTTGCATTTCATCCTAATGAGCCTATAGTTGTATCAGTGGGAAGTGACAAATCAATTTATCTTGGTGAAATAGAGTAGGAACCATGAACTATTTATACATATTTAACTACTAATATTTTTTTAAATAAATAATACAATTAAGCAACAAAAATGTTTTTTTTATTTTTTTTACAGAATATATACAAACAGGAAGTCTTATATTAAAAATATTTTTACCCTCAATTAGTGAGGGAAAAATAGAAAAACATATGTGCTACATAAATGCTAGATTTATTAGATTCTATATAACAAACTTAATAATAATACTTGTTTCAATGAAAAATTGCTTTTACAACCAAATTATACAAAAAGAATGCATTTACGAACTCAAACAATTTTAATACAGAAAAAGTAGTTACTAAGTCTTAAATCTTTTTATAGAAACATTTCTCAATGTTTTACATATACATATAACGTAATTTTTGACAAACCTGAAAATATAATTAACATGCTACTCTATAAAAGTAAAGAAAATATTAACTTCCAAAGAAACTAGTGTGAAAGTGAAATTGTATATTTTATATACAATCATTATAAAGAATTAGTAGTACAAACTACTAACAAAGTATTATATCACATTTATTAAAGAACATATAAAAATCTTAATTTTATGAAATTCTTGTTTTCTTCATGGCAATACCAACATAATTTGGTACTTTATAGAAGTTAAGTAAGTAATAGTGATTGATACAATTATGCATCTAGGTCATTTATAAAAAGAACTTCTCTATTTTTTAATCCTGCTTGCTCTAATGTTTGAACCTTTTCTTTTTCGTGTGCAGGTCGACACTGTAGTACTCTTTTTGGAAAGTTTGTAGTTATCTCAAATGAATCTGGTGAATGTGGATGGCAGAACACAAAGTAAAATACATGCTGTAAGAGTATTATTTTAATTTTTTTACACTTTAAATAATATTTAGCTTACATACCTCAAGTGAATGTGACTTTAGAAATCTTCTTTCTAACCTGTTCCCAGAAGGTAACTTAAAAACTACATGCACAACATCGGGATGGGTCACATCTGGCTCTGATGGAACTTTTGTTACTGACTCTATTTTCTCTCTTTGAAGTGCTTCTTTTCTTTCTTCTTCTTGCCTTGCTTCTTCTTCTAACTGTCGTCTAACTTCCTCTTCAGCCTTTCTCCTTTCCTCTCTTAATCTTTCTTTTTCTTGGTCTGCTCGTAAGCTCTCTAAAAATGCTTCATCCTGGTGTTGTCTTATTGATCTATTTACACTCTGCTCAAACCTATCAGCTCTTGCTTGAACTAAATTGATTTCAAATTCACTTACTACAGTATGCATTCTTTGAAGAAAAATATTAGCATCTGTAAACCCTTGCAACCGGCCCACAATTGTCATTCTATATAAAAAATAATTGTAGTTTACAATAAAAAAAAGAAATATAAAATTACATACTTGTTTTCCTTTAAAACCATTAGGGCCATAAAAGGAAAATAACTAGCTCTTACAGCATTAATTGTACGCCTTCCTTCATCAGTTTTAGCGGAACATGCCCAGAATAAAAAATTGTTGTTAATATATCTTATTACTTCTGGGTTAGCTAAAGTTTCTCTACAAAATAAATCTGCATCTGAAGCTTCAGGCTCATGGAGATAGACAGCTAAGAAGCGTAATTCACGTTTAGCATCGTTGAGAACCTTTAATAAAAGGAGTTGAAATATAGGTATTTATTACTAACAAAATGCAAAATGAACTAACTTGTGAAAATGTGCCCTGATAGAAAACTGGATGTTCACATCCATACTTTTCTTCATAGAAGTGAACGAATTCTAGAACTTCTTGCAGAGGGTCTGTTCTTGGTCTATATTCTAAACCTGTAAAATAAATATGTTTAGATATTGTGTTTTTTTGCCTGTAAATTAATCTAATAATTTACCTAACAGCCTTCTTGTTATTTGCAAAAAGGTCACAATTGTATTATAACATACATTCCACATAAATCCAACAAAGGCCTTAAAAAACCTTCTGAATCCGGTCCCAGAACCATCACTTGGAGGTGCATGGTACACTAATTGCCCTAAAAGATCACTTACAACTGCGGGAGGCCTAGATTCTGAAGCATATACTGAAGGCCTGCCTTCGCGAATGTTTAATTGTTCTTGGACTGCAACTTCTAAATTCCACTGATGTCTTTGTAAAACATCTCTGCATATCGTAATATCTTCTATTCCAGTAAGATCTTGAAATTGTAAAACTTTTTCTGTCTGTTCAGTGGAAAGACCTAGACTCTCATTTTCGCTGTAATCCATCCTTGAAAGTGATAAAATTTAGCTAAAGCCACCGAAGTTATTGTTGCTATTTCAATGCATAGAAAATTAATGAAAAAAATAGAGCTTATAAAGTTATTATCAAAAAATTTGAAACGTCACATCACCATTACGAACGAATCGACATACATGACAAGAAAAAAACAAGGAAAAAAACATGCCCATAGAAGATGACTAAATTGACTAAAATAGATATCTATTTTATCATCGGATATTTATGCGCGCATTATGGTAGACAACCAACAATACATTTCTTGCCGTTTATTTTAAGAGACGACTTCCAGTTGATATATAAATTATATTTTACTTTCTCCCCCCAATACGTTACGCTCCTGGATGGCTCCTGGCATCATTTCAAAGATCGATATAGGGCTGTCCAGGGGCTGTCTGAAAGCAGAATGCGCATTTTATCGTTTATCGAGTCTGCGCTCGGTAGTGTTATGTAGTGTAGTGTATTCCTGCGACCAAAATAAAGCTTTTAAAAGCAGCTTTCTTAAACTAGTAAATTTCTCTGATAAAAGATTTTATCGAAACGCGTTTATAACGAGTGCGTTAAACTACGGTTTGAAATCAAAATTGAATTGATTTGTGATTGTGCTTACCGCTTAACGGCGGTGGTAATGTAAAACCACTATTTTCATTCAAAACTTTTTCTCGAAGCGTTTCCTCAAGAACACAACGCTGGCTACTGAAATTAGATACAGAATTGGAATGAGACTGATTTTAAAGAAATTTATTATCCATACATCGTCCGACCACTTTTCAGAAAATCCTTCGTATATTTTATCTCTCTAGTTTCTTATTTTCTTTGCATTTTCAATATTCCGTTCGTTTTATCGTTCCTGACATAGTTCAATAATGTTATAACATATATAATTGAAAAGGCTGTATACAGTGTGTATGAATTACAACTGTTGTTGTCACACCGAAAGTAGTGATAGAATTTGCGTTTCTTCCAGTCTAAAGTGTTCTTTTTCCGATATTGTCAGCAAGCAACCTATTAAGATGGAATCCAAAAGATTTACTGAAAAGGATGGAGATATCGACACAAAAGGTAAATATTTTGAATTATATAATATTTATTATTTGCCGCCAATCTCCCAGAGAGCGTTTCGGTTAGATGTATACAGGGTGTTTCAAAAAACATGTGCCATCTCTCGTTGGGGAGATTCCTTCTGTAAAAAATAATATTTATTTTTCATATCAACATAGGTCCGATTCTCCTTTGTTTCGTAGCTACAGGGTGTTAAAGTCTTAATAATCTTTATCTAATAATCTTTATCTTATAATACTCTTATCTTAATAATCTTTAATCGATTTATAATCATTTTCTTCCAAATCCATTTAGTGATTTGACTGAAATTTTGAGGGTAAAAGTTACTATAAGTGCTACATATATTTTAATGCTAAAAAAGTGTCGATAAATTCATCAGGGACGTGCGTATGGGTTATCACTGGAATATTTTTCAAAAAAAAACATGTGCGCCACTGACTTTTTTATTTTGATATCAAAATTATATAGGCCCTTTAATGCCAATTAAAAGTTATTTCTTGATATTTTGTCGAATTCAGCCTCCTTGATGAAATAAACGCAATTTTATTAATCACAATAAAATTAAAATAAAATTAATAAATTATATATTTTATAATATATATAAAACTGCATTTCCATATCCATGTTTATAGGAACTTTTCTCATATTTTTTTGATGAGGAATCAACGAGTATTTATTTAGAACTTTATATGTTAAATATTATAGACTTTTCGGTTAAAAATGGCGCCTTAAAAGCATATTCTATATTACTTTTATTTGGGCTCCCGCCTAAAATAAATTCCTGTATACGCCCCTGACAGAGGGTGAGGACTTGGTTGAAATAAGTGCAAATATTTTCAGGGCTATTAGATCTCGATAACAGAAACATACTTTCTCTCCATAAAGTCCAAAATAACTAGATAATTGACCAGAGAAGAACAATCGTAATTTGAGTGTGAAAATTAAAAAAAAAATGATTTTTTGCTTACATTTTGAGAGTCACTGGATCTTTTTTATATTTCTTATTGGGATCTTTTTTGTTTTTTTTTTCGTAAATTCGAGCTACTATTTATGTTGCCATATTTTCAAGATATTGTTTTTTAACTAAAAATTAAAAGTAAATTTCAAAAAAATCCAAATTTTCAATTTGTTTTTGCGAAAAGAATCTCATAGACGTGTTTCTGGGGTCGAAATATACTACCCCTAAAATATTTGCACTTATTTTAGACTCACCCTGTATATACTTCCCGCCCGACTTTAAATTCATAAGAAGGATAATTTTAGTCAGATTGATAAATAGGTAGTTATTTTTCAATATTACTGAAACTTACGAGTATGTTTCGAAATATTATCCAGAATTTTTCAAATATACTGATGTCCGATGATTATACCTACAGGAAGACAAAAAAAGTTACTTAACATTTCATTATCTCTAAGTAGTAGCCTTAAGTAAACATTCACGAATTAATAATAATAATAATAATGGCTTTATTTAATAAATAAATGGGCCAAGTCTGGCTAAAAAAGCCACTCACACTTAAAACACCCAAAAATTACAGTAATGCTTACAGTCTAAATATTATAATGTAATGATCTATACGAAACGCTAATTAATAAATAAATAATTTAATAATAAATTAAAGGAAAGAAAAAAAAAATAAGATACACAATAACAGAATTAAATTACCTAACCATTTATAATAATTAATAAGCGCATATTGGCTACCTTATTTTATTAACATCTTATACAATGTGTTATTATCATCTTATACAATTTTGATTTTTTTTTTAAATAATGTTAGCCCATTCTCCAAGAATGGCTTGGAAATTTTGCCGTGTTTCTGGATCTCAATTCCAAAGTTCCAAACATAAACATAATATATTGTGATCTGGGTTGGCGCGTTTAACAATTTCGTTCATCGGGACTATTCGGTGGCTGCTCCAATATAGTTGAATACATTGTGGCTATAGTCTTATAAATATCGTATGATAAAAAAATGGCGTCCAGTTGGCTTGGAAATGATCATTAGTGACATTCCCTAAATAATTTTACATATAAAATGACAGCGATGTTCATAGCCATCGCTGACGCCGTTTTTTTTTCGATCATACAGTATATTAACCTTGTTTATATATATACTGGGTTCGGCAATAGTGCGTCGGGCATCTGTAGGTTCATATAATAAAAAACTTAGGAATTTTGTGAGAAAACATATTTTAACTCCTACAGGGTGGCTCAAAAAGGGATGATTTTTTTTTAAATGGAACGCCCCGTATATTATTGCATTTTTTGTTTCATTTCTGATCACTTTACATAATCCTAAAATATTAGTAAATATGTTTTGATAGCTCCAGAGATATTAATAAATAATGTTTTTCTTAATCTTAATGTTCTAACTATACTGGGTATTTACTATAGTTGGTCTGTACATACTTTGCTATAAATGTCGTAATCTTAAATCATACAGGGTGTTCAAAATTCTATGCCAATTTTTCTAAAATATAAAATAAAATTTTCTTATTTTTTTTTAAGTGCTACACCCTGTATATATTTCTTTCTTAGATGAAGAATTAAAAAAATCTGTTGTCTCTACTATATATACCTACTATAATAAATAGATGAATATTTAAAAAATATACATTTGAGGCGGGGGGGTTAATAAATAAAAGTTTTACCTTTTGTGAGAGAGACATAATTTCCGTATAATTAGACTCTCAATTAAGATTTAACAGAACTTTTACAGTAAATTTTAGAAGTAAAAGTATGTTTGTAGGTTGTTAAAAATATCCCCGAAATAAATGGGCCATTTTTATAGATTTTTAATTATGCAAACAGAAAGGTCGTGCAAACAAGTCATAGTTCAACTTATTATCTGGGCTAAAATTAATGTTTGTAAGTTCACGAAATTACGCTAATTAAAATATTGGCACATTTTTCAATCTTTGTACCCACGTGTCATAGATATTGTAAGTCTAGTTTATACATGTGGATAAAATAATTTATATGATTTCAAAACAATGGATTTTACTAAAACTGATATGGCTTCAAGCCAAAAAACGCGTTCTTCATGCAAAACCTTACGTTAATGTTTGATACATACTGCCATTATACACTGACGAGTATTTGACACGCATCAAAAGATGGTCACGCAAGCGTTTCCTTTCATGAGCTTTTCTGTGACTGAAAAGCCCGATACGTGATGTTATCTGTCTACCGCAGTCCGGACATTCAAAAGTCTCATTGCTTTGTTACGTCTTTACTTTTTGGTTGTCGCTGTTAACTGAGTTTACAATTCTTCTCCATTTCGTTCTATTGTGAGCTGCTTGTGGCTTGTGAGCTATTGTGAGCTACTTTGAATGTGGTAGACAATGATTCAGTATTAAAATTAAAAAATTTTGGACTTCCATTGTCTTTGCTTACACAACGTTTCGGTCAGAAGTATCAATGAGCGTTATCAAGTGTGAACTAAATTAAATCCTAAAACTACTGAGCTTATATACTAGAGCCGAGCATTCACCCGTAAATTAGTTTTTTTGGTAAGGGGTGGTTTAAAAATCTTTTATAGACGAATATAGTGATCATTCCCATCACCATGTCGAGAGAGACCATCATAGAAATAATCCCTAGACAGTATAGGTTTTGGATTGTTACCCACTAAAAGCAGTCCACCTCCTAGGAATCAGCTGCCAAAGTATGGCCAGCTACTATTCCTGCTGATATTGGGGTGTAAATTAGTTGGATGCGGTCAAGCATGAGGTTCTCCGCTAAGAATACCTGCATTGGAGCGTTTTATGTTTGGTTGTCATATTGAAATTTCCATACTTGAATTGCTAAAGATTTTATTATTGTTAGAAATGAATACGGCCTCTCTGCGTATGTTTTTTATGTTTATCAATTCGTACATGTAGAGGACGTTTTGTCTCTCCAATATACGACTCACCGCACTCGCAAGGTACCTGGTAGATGCACTCTTTTTTTTGGTTTGATGATTCCGGTTTTATTTTTGTTGGAGATTTTTTAGAGTAGTCCCAGTTAAAAACAGTTTTAATTTTATACTGCTTGGCTATTCGCCTGATCTTCTCCAATGTTCCTTTGACATGTAATCGTCAAGAGAGAGATAGCATACTTCTCATGCTGGCGGCTGGCGCACCAATATGTCAGACTTGCAACTGGATATAATATTGTCTAGGGATTTTGCACAGTAACCATTCTGAAGCAAATCGGTTTTAATATTACTTAGTTCAGAATTCAAAGATTCTTGGTCACTGCATATAGTGATTGCTCAATGACATAATGTCTATACCTCTTTAGGTTGCTTCAGAATGATTCGACTGAGAATTTAAATATTGTCCCGTATGTGTGGGCTTTCTATATCCCAAAGTGGCCCACGTGGACCCTAGGGACTTTGGGAATCACTCCCTAGAACTGTGATCATATTTTCGCTTAATGATTCTTACTTAGACACCGGGTATATGTTTGTCTTTTAATAATCACAACAAAATTTACGAAACGTACACGTATAATCCATAACAGATAACAAACTTAAGTCCTCTTCCAAGAATTTCGATTGATAAGAACAAAGTTCATAAAAACGATTCGTGGTTTCTCAGAAAAACAGACTAATCTTACATAATCCATCACCTTATTATCATCCTTGTTATCATGCCAAATACTTGAATAAATTTTTAAACATTTCCACAATATCACTTCTTTTAAATTAAGTAGTTTATTTAGCTGACGTCTGTATGTATTTAAAGGATCCTTAAAAGGTGTCTTACTCCACAGTAATAAATTAAAAAATTATGTAGTACCTAGTTAAAAAATAGGTAGAGTAGTAGTAGATAGTAAAGAAAGAAGATAGAAAAGAAATTCTAGTAAATAACACAACACTGGAAATAGTAGAAGAATATATAAATATTTGAGGCGACTAATACACAGCTCGGGATCTTTACTACCAGAAATCAACAGAAGAATTAAGTTAACATGGAGTACTTATGGAAGAAACTTAATCATATTCAAA